CCTGAATTCAGTTTACAATGAACTTGTAAACTTAAAAATTTAAGTTTACAAGCCTTTGTAGAGTTAGGCTCACATCATTTCAGAGAACATCATTATGTTTAATTTTTCTCATAATCAGGTTTCAGGCAAACCCAGGAAAGCATACATACAATAGGTAAAAGTAAAGGTTCCCTTCACATATAGTATGTGCTAATCGTTCCTGACTCTAGGGGGTGGTGCTCATCTCCATTTCTAAGCCCAAGAGCCAGTGCTGTCTGGAGATATCTCTGTGGTCATGTGGCCGGCATGACTAAACACTGAAGGCGCATGGAACACTGTTACCTTCCCACCAAAGGTGGCTCCTATTTTTCTACTTGCATTTTTACATGCTTTCGAACTGCTAAGTTGGCAGAAGCTGGGACAAGTAATGGGAGCTCACTCTGTTACGCGGTGCTAGGGATTTGAACCGCTGAACTGCCAACCTTCTGATCGACAAGCTCAGTATCTTAGCCATTGAGCCACTGCGTCCTAATACATATAATAGGAAAATACTAAATAGGAATGGATGAAATCTAACACCATCAGAAACATAATAACCTTATTCATCGACAGCCATTTTAAAAAAGGATTTTTTACTATTTCTTTNCGCTTTAGTCTACCGCGGTTTTGTGGTGGAACCCTGCTACACAGCCTCCTCCCCACAGTCATGTGATTGCAGTCTGGGTACTTGGGAACCTGTTAACCTGTTTGGGTCTATGACAAGTTACTAAAAGGCCCACAATCATATAATCGCTATTTGCAGTCTTCTCTACCAGAAAGTCAACTACAAACTACTGTATTTATTTTTATTCCTATTGTAAACATTTTTACAAAAAGCAGTCTGAAAATGTGAATGCAATTTTCATTTATAACAAATAGTTCCATTTCCGCCCCACACCCCGCCTGTTTATTATCTTTGTGCTTTTAGGTGAAGCTGGAAAGCAACTTTGCCTGTGTTGTTTTTGCCATAATGGTTTTGGAAGGTCTTGGTCGCTCCCTAGACCCTGATCTGGATGTTCTGAAGGCAGCTAAACCTCTCCTCATCAACCCACCAAATTAGGAAGATGTCCCCTCTCCTTAAGCCACTTTCGATGTTTGCATTTGAAAACTAAGAACCTCTTCAGATGCTAAGCACTTTGAACTTTGAATTTGGAAATGAAGATCTAATCCTTTAAAGAGTACTTGTCTGTTTCCGTTGGAAGGAATAGGACTGTCCTGGTCATCTGGTAAGAAAGAACTGGAGGAGTTAGATTCAGGATGCTGATATTAAATGCATCTCTAGATGCACTCTAGTTCTTCTGCCAACAGGTGATTTGTTCTGTGTTCTGGTACACAGAAAATCGATTATGTTGCACCAGTATCAAGGAAATCAAACCCATTTACAGCTTCAATATTGTCCAGCTCCCATTTCAAGACAATGGAAAACAAAGATGGCACGTATCAATCATCTCTCTCCCTCTCCCTCCCTCCCCCTCTCCCCATTTCTATCAGCATACAGCTTTCTTAGCTGTAGAGAGACTGGAAAGCATCAAAGATATAACATAGTTCAAATGATTATTGTAATTTCCAGTGAATTGGTATGCAGTCATTTATGTTCCAAAATATTATTAGCTAAATTTGTTTTTACTAATAGACATATTTTTAGAAGAATATACTTCTACCTACTGATGTTGGGAAAGCTGGATGAATTAATAAATTTTTTTTGGCAAGAAATGGTTTCTCACGGTGCTTCTGGTTTTGTGTAAGTGAAGAAAAAAAACCCCACTTTCTAAATGTTTCCTTTTGAATTTTGCTTTGTCAGATCAAAAGCATTTGATATTACAAACATGTCCCAGACACGTGGATGGCAAGAGGTTGGGGAAGTTAGTCTGATACATTTAAGTATATATTTTAAAAATGAATATTCCACCTTTCTGACCAAATGTGCATTTCAGGTAGACAACCAAAACCTATAATTGTGCAATCATAAAAAATAGTATTAATACAGTAAATTGGAATGCAAACTGTTATAACACATATACACAGCCTAAAGGCCCTAGAACAGGGATTCCTAAACTTTCTTTGCTAGCGCATCTCCCCTAAAAAGCCAAACACAAAAATGGACACAACTGAACAATGAAAGCAGTCTAATGAAATTTTATGAACCACTCTTGGGGACCTGTAGTCAAAGTCCAAGGAAGGCACCAATATAATATATACCTTGTCATTTCTTTTGAAATACAAAATTAGTAGTAAAGGAGCAGATGGTAAGATGGGTGCAGAACTTTGGCTATAATACTGAATTAGAAAAATGGGGAAAATTTGGGGGGGGATAAATTTAAAAATGACTCTGTGGCATACAAGGAGAACTAGTATAAAATGTTTTACAGATGGTTGCAAGACTAGCAAAAATATCACCAACGATATCTCCAAAATGCTGGAAATGTGAAAAAGCGCACGGAGCATACTATCATACAAGTGTACTTGCGAGGCGGCCAAAAAATATTGGAAAAAAGTTAAAAGTTGGCTGGAACCTATAACAGAAAATCAAACTGACTGGAAACCAGAGACATTCCTATTAGGTATAATGATGATTAAATATAAAAAAGAGACCCTATATCTGATCTTACATATAATCACAGCGGCTAGGATTGCATTTGCACAGAGATGGAAGAACAAGTCAACACCAAGTGAAGATGAAACAATAAGAAAGATTCTTGGCTGTGCTGAGATGGACAAGTTAACAAAAGAAATCAAAGGAAAGGAAGAGACAGAATATTATTTGGTATGGGAAAAATGGTAGAGGTGGCTGGAGGAAAGAAACGAAGATTAACGATAAGTACCTAAGAGAGATAAAAATTACAAAATAAAGGATAAATGTTATATAAGGTAGATAAATAAATGATAATGAAATAAGGTTAAAAATGGTAAAAATCAATAGAAAGGTATTAGGAGGGAAAATACTGTATATAAAAATATTCAAAACTTCTATAAGAAGGAACATGAAGTTCCAGTGTGTTGTATAAATGTAGCCTATGTCTTTGTAGTTGTGTGTTTAAAATAAAAAAAACAAAAAATTGCCATTCAAATAATAATAATATATACCACGTCAGCTATCTTTTAATCTGAATTTTGGCTTTCAGGAAACTACTCAAAGGCCCAAAGTATCCACTGATAAGTCCAAACTAATATTACCCTTAAAAGAGACAATGGACAACCAGAGCAGCACAAATTCACCTAACTACTAGGAAACTCTCAATGCTGGCTGGGGAATTCTGTAAAGTTACTGAGACTGAGAAACACTGGCCTTTAGAATTAGGGATATAATAGCGCTGTCTTTTTGCTTTTTGCTCACAGTCAATCCTATTTGTGTAGAATTCTGTGTGCTTGCTGATCCTGCTTACAAGTATAGCATGCTCACTCCTGACATTGCAGCAGAGATGATTTTACTTTTAGCCTACAAAATAGAGAAAAAGATGAGCACCATTAGAGATCTGTAACAAGGAAGGGAATTCCAACTCAGAAGGCATCGTAAAGCTTTGTTGCCAATAACAGCTTGAGTAATCTCCAAAATGCAGGAGCATTAGACTAGGTTTAGGTTTAGGTTTAGGTTTAGGTTTAG